CCCCCCCCCCCGACATGACCAAACCCACTCTAAGCCAAGAATCCTTCCCTGACCTTTTCCCTAGAATTACTGGTAAAGATCTTCTCTTCCCAGTGAGGCTGCTAAGCTGGAAGAATGTGAGTTTGGGGCAGCTGGGAGCCATCAAGCCCATGATGGAACAGAGCTGGTTAGAAAAATAAACCCTCTAGTGACAGGAGAAAAAGGAACTGAGATTAGGGTAGTGATTTAAAACACACACAGCCTGGCCGGGCATGGCTTAGCGGTTGAGCGTCGACTTAGGATCCGGGCGATCAGGGTTCGATTCCCGGTCAGGGCACATGCCCAGGTTGCTGGCTCCATCCCCAGTTGGAGGCGTGCAGGAGGCAGCCGATCAATGACTCTCTGATCACTGATGTTTCTATCTCTCTCTCCTTCTCCTTTCCTCTCTCTGAAATCAATAAAAACATATTTAAAAAATAAAACACCCCCCCTATTTTCTATAAAATTCTTTCCCCCACCCCAAATGAGAATAAAGTCACCTCTATCATTAGAACTTAATAGTCAACCTCTCCCTCACTCCCCCAAAACCAACAAAGAGAGGGGCATCTCAAGGAGAGGAACTATGAACAAAGGCCATCAAGAAAGGAAAACTGCAAAGCAGAAGGAGGGGTAGGTCAGCAATAATTCCAGTTTTCCTGGGGGTCAGTGAGGCACACAAAGGGAAGCAGTGGCCAACAGGTGGACTGGGACCACATTCTCATCCTTCAAGGCCAGGCGAGGAACATGGAACTGATCAAGGTCGCAGCAGGCGGCTGAATCCCAGCTCTCTCCAAACCTCTCTCCAATCCTCTTCTCTATGGAAGGAACTTTCAGGATATTTATTTTACTTAATTCTTATTCTTGTAACAATCCCATTCACCAAGTGATTGGAAAGAGTTTAAAGTTGTTTAAACCCCTTTAGAAGAGGCTGGTCACATACATACATTTGAATTATGGTTCTAAAAACCATTCCTCACACTTGGGTTCTATAAATCAGTCCTCTAAAGAGCTATTACATTTTAAAAAATACGTTGTTTTAAAAATTGATTTTAGAGAGAGGAAGGGAGAGAAAGAGAGAGAAACATCATTAGTTGCCTCCCGTACACCCACAACCTGGGCAAACTGGCAAACCTTTCAGTGCACAGGACAACGCTCAACCAACTGAGCCACACTGGCTAAAGCTAAAGAGCTACTGCATTTAAACAGCGAGCATGAAATTACTCGGCCATTAGCCATACCTGGATTATCCTAGGTGCAAGAATGCCATTCTCTTCTATGAGAATGATATATTCTGGCAGACAGCAGCTTTTTACTCTCTGTTAATATTTACGGCTAGGGCAGAAATGGTATATTTATAATTACATTTTCAGTTAATGGAAAAAGAAAACAACAGTCCTAGCTGGTTTGGCTCGCGTCAGCCCACAGACTGAGGGGTCCCAGTTTCGATTCCGGCCAAGAGCACGTACCTCGGTTGCAGGCTCAATCCCCTAGCCCCAGTCAGGGTGAGTGCGGGAGGCAGCCCATCAATGTGTCTTTCTCACATCAATGTTTCTCTCTCTCTCTTTCTTTCCCTTCCACTCTCTCTTAAAAGCAAAGAAAAAAGTATCCTCCGGTGAGGATTGGGGAAAAAAAAAAAAAGCCAGGCTGGGCATGGCTCAGCAGTTGAGCACTGACCTAGGATCCAGAAGATCGCGGTTCAATTCCTGGTCAGGGCACATGCCTGGGCTGCAGGCTTGGTCCCCTGGTGGGGGTGTGCAGGAGGCAGCTAATCAATGATGACCCTCTCATCATTGATGTCTGTCTGTCTGTCTGTCTCTCTCTCCCTTTTCCTTCCTCTCTCTGAAATCAATAGGTATATTTAAAAGAAAACACAAAGGGGCTGTATATTCACCAGTGATACGTACTTGCTGTCATTTTATTTGTATCAAAAATGAATTAAAAGTTATATTTCATGAGGCCAGAACATGTTACTAAAACTTCACCCAAAATATCAAGATCTTTTAAGTCTTAATATTAAAAAGTGACTCATAATTATATTTCTAAAACTCAGTTTCATTTATATCTAAGTATATGTATGCATAAAAAAATCCTAAAGGCTATCTATATTCCAAAATATTAACACCAGTAAACAAATGATTTTTATTTATTTACTTTGGTAGTTTTAAAATCTATTTTGCAATGAGCCTGTCATTTTTTATATTCCAATTTTCTCTTTTTGGGAGGGGGTGTTTATTTGATGAAAATAAACACTTCCACACTTTCTGGCAGGAGCATACAAATACTATTTCTGGAATTTCTCACCTTGAATTTTACTGTTACCCTCTCTCAAATGATCTCCTAGGTAAATTATATCAAATATTAACAGCACTCAAGTTCAACAGGTTCAACCTAGGATCCAAACCATAAATGAAATCAGGTTAAATTAAAGACAACTAAACCCAAACTTGACTGCTTTCATTCATCAAAAAATAACACGACTTCTTGTTTTTGAGGAAAGGAATAGAGGAAATGGTTTCCTACCAGTACTGGGTTATGTTGTATATATATATAGTACCAAACAGTCACACGGAGAGGTGTTTGGCACTGGGATTCAGAAACCTGTAACAACATAAAGAGCCTGCCCCATACAAAGTGAGTCTCATGTGTCCTGCCAAGGTACCTCAGCTTTATGTACAATTCACCTCCATATAACATCTCAGCTTTGGACATTTCCGGGTGGAAAAGAACAGGCAATGAATTCAGGAAGAAGGGGGTTTTTCAACCCCAACCTCGCCCAATGGTAAGTTAAGAAACCTGGTTCTCAATTTCCTCATCTGTAAAACAGAGATAATAAAAACCGCCTTGTGATATTGCTCCAAGGACTGGAAATGATGTATGTTTAATATCTATAATAGTTACTCAATAAATTATGATTAACTGGTTTGCCTATGAGATAAATATTAATTCTTCCTTTTGATGCTAATGCAATATATTCCACTACAGTTAACATAAAATGAGTATGTAAAAATAACTCTTTGCCTTTGGGTATACAGGTTGGCAGAATCCTGGAAGCAAGGAAGTTGGTTTTCCAAAACCTCCCTTTCCTGCCTAGTACCCTGTGAATCTACTTTCTGCTGCTTCTGACAGCCACTGCTCTGACATCATCCTCAAAACAGGAATTGGACTGCATGGGCTTATAAGATTCCCATTTCCATGTACTTATTCCTTCCTCCCATTTCTTTCAGGGCCAGTCAGTAGATAAGGTAGATAGATCAAGAGTTGCTGGTTCATTTTTAAAAAATTTTAAAATTGGCAATAGAGCTACAGGCAAAAAAAACAAAAGAAAAAACAAACAAAAAAACAGACTAGGAAGAGAACAGTATTATTTAAGAAAATACTAATGAGTCAGGTTGAATTTTGTATTTCTAAATATACAGCCAATAGAAATCTGCATTTTGTATTAATAACACTTGCCTTTTTTTTTTAGAAAAAGATTTTGTAAATCTCCCCTTCCAAACTACCCCTCCCTCACCTTCTCTGCAGTGAGGAGACAACCCTCCATTTGACACCTGTGACTGGGGTTTCCAATATAATTTGAGGAAAGGAGATCTTCATCAAAAAGAGACAGCTCAACCCAGTAACCTACAACCATAAAACAGACAGCTGGCAGACAATTTCTGAATATAATAGCAAATTATTTTAAATAAATTTGATCCAATAACTAAAAGAACATGAAGCAGCCGTGACTGCTATGAAGAGAGATCCACTTCTACAATACCACCAGCACAGGGAAGGGAGCACTACAGAGAACCTGTACACAGACCTCCTTTGGTGCTTGTGCAGTCCTTACCTGACAGTCAAAGTCCTGGAAGTTTCGTGTACCATTCTGTCAACAGAAGGAAGAAAACACCGTCAGTTTCCCCATGTGGCTTCCCCAAATGTGCAGCAAATTCAGTTCACAGTGAAAGCAGTGCAAGTGTAGTGTCCTGGTTGCCATAAACTAAAATGGTTCTTCTCATCAAAAGGCTTCAGAGGCAGGGTAGGTTCCTAACATGTATTAGTAAAAGGTGAGTTTTTAGAGGTGAGATTACACTTTGGTGGGCTTCCTATGAATATAAAGGAGAGCAGCCTACTTTCCCAAGAAGCCTGTAACTTCTTGCGTCCCTACCTAAGGAGAGCAGTGAGAACTTGCAGGAAGAGGGTAAGACACCGATCAGAGTCTGACAGCAAACTTAAAACCCACAAAGAAGCACCTGGGAGGAAAGGAGTTGGAAACAATCCTGACAGGAGCAAGGGTGGGCAGGAGTCAGTGCCAAGAGCCAGGAATTAAAGAAAGGATTAAGGAGAGAACAAAGATAGATGGGATGGAAGTGGAAGACTTGAAATTTAACGAGGAAGAAAGTGTCACTGGATGGAAAGAAAAACAAAACAGGATTCCTAATACACTGAACTCTCTGTTGCATCCCATAAAACTGCTGATAGGAAAAAGGACACATTACTGACACATTGAAAAAGCAGAACATAACCCTGGCCAGTTTGGCTCAGTGGTTAGAGTGTCAACTTGTGGACTGAAGGGTCCTGGGTTTGATTCTGGTCAAGGGCATGTACCTCAATTGCAGGCTTGATCCCTGGCTCTGGCAGGGGTGAGTACGGTAGGCAACCAACTGATGTGTCTCTCTCACATTGATGTTTCTCCTTCTCTTCCACTCTCTCTGCAAAGCAGTGGAAAAAATATCCTTGGGTCAGGATAAAAAAAGGCAGAACACAATCAAAAGACCCAAGGGGAATTCACCAGGCTTCTAAAGAGATTTGTATCATAGAAATGTTTGATTTAAAGAAAAAAAAACGAGCCCAGTCAGCATGGCTCAGCAGTTGAGCATCGACCTATGATCCTAGGATCCAGGAGATCTCGGTTCAATCAATTCCAGGGCACATGGCGGGGTTGTGGGTTCAATCCCCAGTAGGGGGCCTGCAGGAGGCAGCCGATCAATGACTCTCTCTCATTACTGATGTTTCTCTCTCTCTCTCCCTCTCTCTCTGAAATAAACAGACATATTAAAAAAAAAAA